GGAGGGGCGGGGAGGGGAGCTCGAGCTCGGCGAACGGAACGGCCGGTGGCGGCGGAGGAGCTGTTCTTCTTTTCGGCTGCGGCGAGGCGGCCGATGTCAAACATGCGGCGACGAATCTTGTACGCGAGCAGCTCGACGACGGCACCGAGAGCGACGAAGGCGACGTGGACGACGAGGACGACGTGCGAGTCGAGGTCGAGGAAGTCGACGAATACGGCGAATCGACGACGGCGCGCCACGGCTCTGTTTTGCTGCCAGTGAAAGCATACACGCTCGCGTGCGCGCGCTCACACACACACACACACACATATACAAGCGTGACACTCACATCGGCACGCACCATACACACACACACACGCCACACACGCACCGGTGCGCGGCTGCCGATGAGCGCGGATATATGGCGGCGCGAGTACTCTTGCTGAGCGTCTTGATTACGGAAGTGTTGAAGCCCGCTTGTGCCGCAGGTGCGTAAACGCGCGACGACGATGTCATCGATGTTCCTCCCGCTGTAGGATATCGTTCACCCGGCGCCCCGGTCTGTCCGTTATCACCTTGCATCGTAATGAGACAGACCGGCGACGGGTCGCGTGCCGAACGCACGACGACGCACTGCTTGTATGCGCACATGAGCCCAGGCGTCGTCGACGTTCCCGAGTTCCCGTCTCCTCCTCGTCGTCGAGGAGGCACGACAGGCGCCGCGCTGTCCGACGGCGCGATGTACGATGCCGGTTGTCGCGAGGCGGAAGTCTTGCCAATCGTTCGCTTTGTCGCATGTACGATGGTTCAAGGCGGTCTCGCGTCGGTCGTTTGCGCTCGCCGGTAATGAGGCTGTAAACTCATGAGCTGCCCGTGTTCGGCAGGTGTTAAAGGTATCGGGGGAAACTTCGGCGGTAGAAACGCGTCCAAACCAGATGTCTCCGACGCCGGTCTGACTAAAGGCTCCGGGTTGACATTGGAAATCCAACCTGGCGGCCATGTGATACTAGGGAAGAAGGGGATCACGCTTACCTGCACAGCTGGTTCCAACGAGAACATTACCTGGCTTTACAATGGAATACGAGCGCCTCCGTGTGGTCGTACTCGCTGTGTTCTTCTTAAAAATGGCTCTCTTCACTTTCACAAGGTAACCGTGTCAGCGGGCACAATCGTTGCGCCGCGTCATGAAATTGTCATGTCTTCATTGAATCGTAATCATGAAGTTGTAATATCGTCGTATCTTCGTTGAGTCGTAACTATATTGTTAGGTGCTTGCAAAAGTTCGTAAGGTCATGGATGGTTGTAGCAGCGACTGTACTTGTATACTTTAAGTTTCCTTATATTCAAATACTTGTATGCTATGAACCCGATGAACAGTGAGATGAAAGTTACTGGAATGTATAATAATAAATATTTCATAGTAAATCATAATTTTCATCGTGAAATTCAACGTAATGCCGTGAAATATAATGAAAATTGAAGGGTAATTCTGAAAAGTAGTGCACAAATTTTGGAAATATCGGATAACATGAAACTTAGTGAATTAAACTGAAAAAAATGCGCATATTAATGAAATGGGCTCAATTGAGAGAGTATTTCAGCAAAATATTTCCATCAGGGTATGGAAATCTTTTTTGCAAGCACCTGTACGTCATAAAATCATCATCATCCTTGCATCATCGTATCGTTATATTATAACATAAGGTCATAATATAGATCATAACAGGATTCTGTCACGTGTAATACATTGTGTTGCAGAAACAAAATTTACAAATGCAAAAGTTCAAAGAGAAGGAAAGGAATAGTATTGTTAACGCTAGAAACCATAGTAAAGATGAATATCGCTGTGTAGCAAATAATAGTTTAGGAGAGCTGGTACGGTCAGCTCCTACATTTATTCAGATAGCAGGTAATTGCGTCTTTTCACGTGCACGTATGCGAATGTAATTCCCCTTTGTCTTACGATCCGGAATCGGATGCGTTCACCACGGCCTTTGTGTGTTACATGTTACAGAACTTGCCCATGTATTTAAAGAGTCGCCCGAAAATATTACTGTTCGAGAAGGCGAAGTCGCAAGATTTTCTTGCTTGATAGACAGTGTTCCTTTTCCACCCAATATTACATGGCAGCATAATGAAACGTTGTTGTCTTACCATAATGAATCAAAGTATTCCATGGTACCACCAGGTGTTCTGTATATAAGTGCAACGAAACTGTCAGATGCTGGCTCATATAGGTATGTCGATTGTAACTAATTTCTACGTACCACGAG